AGCTTGTGGTGCACTTGGTGCCCCTGGTGTTTGGGGGGCTGGGACTGTGGATCTTGGAAAACCCCTCGGTGGTCCTTTAGTCTCCTAGTTCAGCCAAGGGAGAAATGAGCTCTACCCGTGGGTTCCCCATTCCTGCTGCTGTTCGTGCCCTCCCCCCACCTTGAAGCATGCCCTTCTGTTTGGCTCTCCCTCTTCACCCCCAGATCCCATCCATCACCGAGCTAATTTCTGACGCCAGCTCCCTATTCCTGCCCCTTCTCCATTCCCAGTGCTTTTCTGCTTGGTTCCCGGCTTTCAGTCCACTCCCTCCCCCATTTTAAGCAGAGCCCTTATCTCTACTCTCTTCATGAGCGAGCTCTACTCCCTCTGGAACCAGACCTCCTCTGACCAGCTTGGAGGGCTTTCCATGCTCTGGCCCCAAATCCTTTGCCAGCCCCATCTCCACTGCAGCCCGATTCTAACCTAGCCAGCCTAAATAGACTGGCTAGCCTTGTGGTAAGAACGGGGAAGGGGGGGGGGGGTTGTCTGACTGCGTAGATTCAAATCCTAGACCCAATGCTTATTAGCTGTGGGACCTCGGGCAAGCCACGTAACTAGCTAAAGACACGATTTTCTCACCTGGAAATGATATTAGCAGAACTCAGAGAGTTGGGAGATTCGATGTCCAGAGAAGATGTGAAATGCTTGCAGCATTAGCTGTGTGCACATGGGTCCATGGTTCTCGCCTCCAGGAACGCCACCACCGTCATTCCTGGTCCCCAGGAGCTCACTTCTGGTCTGGCATTTGTCTCTTCTAGAGCGTTCATCATCCTTAGCTTCCTCTTTTTTGACTTTTTTTTCTCTCCAGATGGGAGGGGAGATCTTGTCCCGTCTGCTTACATGAGACACAGTGCTGTGTATACAGACTTCTAGTAAATGCTACTGGGTCACGAGTGGCCGGATAGGACCAGGTTAATATTTTTATGGCAGGACAGTTCCCTGAGGGCCTCGGGATCGATTACATCCTTTGGGATTTCCTGGGACGACGGTCAGTGGGGAAGGAGTGTGGCAGCATATGCCCCTGAGCCCCCGCTGACTCAGCCTGGGAGCCGCTGCCCTCCTCCCCTCACCCTCCCAGGGAGCCTCAAATACCTTGGCGGGTCTGACTGCGGGTCTGACTATGCAGGGGATGGTTCATGAACAGGAGGTAGCAGAGGGCTGAATGTTCCACTCTAAAGCGTATCCAAGTGGGAAAGGGGCTTTTGCAATCACGTGTGTGCATGTGTGTGTGTGTGAGAGAGAGAGAGGGAGAGAGAGAGAGAGATAGCTTTATCGAGCTATATTTTACATATCATGAGATTCACCTACTTCGAGTGTACAATTCAATGATTTTTAGGAATTTTACCAAGAGGCACAACCATCACTGTAAAATCTTTTTAGTACATTTCCGCCCCGCTGATAAGATTCTTCATGTCCATTTAGAGTTACTCTCCGTTCCCGCCCCAGCATCCAGCCAACCGCTAGTTACGTTCTGTTTCATCAGTCTGCCTTTTAGGACCTTTCACATACAAGCGGAGTCATACAGCAGGTGGTGTCGTGTGTCTGGTTTCTTCCATTTAGCGTGAATGAGGCTCATTCATGTTGTAGTGCATACTGCTGGTTTGTTCCTTTTTACTGCCAAATCATACTCTGTTGTGTGCATGCACCGCATTTTGTCTAGCCATTCACCCGTGGCTGGACTTTCAGGCTGTTTCCCCTTTTTGGCTTTTCTGAATAATGCTGCTGTGAATATTCATACACGAGTCTTTATGCAGACATATGCTTTTATTTCTTTTGGGTACATATCTAGAAGTGGAATTCCTGGGTCAAAATGTTTAACATTTTGAGAAGCTGCCAATTTGTTTCCCAAAGTGGCTTCAACTGACTGAGCCCCGCCCCAGGCACCTCTGTGTTTGTATTTTCTTAACTGACTTTTGAAACACAGAAGTTTTGGATTTTGAGAGGTCACTTTATCAAGTTTTTTCATTTATGGACTGTGCTGTTGGTGTCATGGCTGATTAAACTTTGCCCATCCCAAGCTTGCAAAGTTTTTCCCTGTGTTTCCTTCTAAAAGTTTAATTGTTTTATCTCTTATACTAAATTCTATGATCCACTTTGAGTTAATTTCTGTGTATGGTGTGAGGTAGGGCTCTAAGTTAATCGTTTTTGTATGTGGATATATGTTCTGCTAGGACCCTTTGTTAACAGACTGCCCTTCTGCCAATGAATTGCCTTAGTGCCTTTGTCTAAAATCAATTGAATGTACATATAAGCATTCTATTTCATTGATTTATATGTCTGTCTTTATGCTAATATCACGCCCTTTTGATAACTTTGGCTTTATAGTATGTTTTGAAATTAGGAAGTAAAATTTCTCGAGGTTTGTTCTTTTTCAAAATTGTTTGACTATTATATACAAATTATACAAAAATAAATTGTAAATGTAAATTATACAGAATTATTTTGGCTATTTTGCATCAATTTATTTATCTTATATAAATTATAGAATCTGCTTGTCAACTTTTGCAAACCTCCCCCTCCTCCCAGCCTGCTGGAATTGTGATAGGGTTTGTGTTGATTCTCTACCTCAGTTTAAGGAGAATTACCATCCTAACAATATTGAATTCATAAAGCGTGCACATAAATGTTTCTCCATTTATTTAGATCTTTAATTTCTCTCAGCAAAGTTTTAATTTTCAGCGTAAGTTTTGTATTTTTTGGTTAAATATTTCCCTAAGTATTTAACTCTTTTTGATGTTATTACGAATAGAATTATTTTCTTAATTTTATTTTTGGAGCATCCAAGGCTTATCTGCAAAAATATAATTGCTCTTTGTATATTGACCTTGAATCCCGTGACCTTGTTATATTTGTGTATTCGTTCTAATAGCATTCTGTGCACTCCTTAGGATTTTCTAGAGGATCGCGTCATCTGCAAATAAAGACAGTTTTACTCCTTCCTTTCTGGTCTGGATGACTTCTATTGCATTTTCTTATTATTGTGGCTAGAATCTCCAGTATTTTGTTGAACAGGAAACCTGACAGTGGAGACTTGATCTTCCGGGGGCAAGCCTTCAGTCTTTCACCGTTTTAATTTAATGGTGAAAAACTGTAAGTTTTTCATAGATGCCATTTATCAGGCAACCATGTGTTGGTTAAGAGCTGTGAGCAAATCTGGTCCAGGCTCCTTCCTAATTGCATCGATCCTATCAGCAAGGTAGGAGAGCCAGTCTTTCTGATACAGAGGCGAATGGTGGTAACTCGGGCACATTGACCCATTTGGTACACCACTCGGTATAGCTACTGACAAGGAGTCCGGTGCGGTTAAGTTGCCTCGGCATCAGCGGGGGGCGGTTCTTGCAGTTACAACCGTCTAGGGACACCTGGATTCTTGGCTAGATTTTGCCACTGTTGAGCCGTCAGTCCCTCAGCCTCCTCAAAAGCCAGATTCCACATTAACAAAACAGGAGCAAGAATTCCTTTCCTGCCTACCTCCCAGCTTCAAGCGGGACAAAGCTCCACCAACTGAGGCAAAGGAGCATCACCAGTTCTTAGAGGTAGGAAATGTGTCAGTTACAGGAAGGAAGATAACCCAGAGTCTCTGACTGTCTCCTTGAATTTGCGGAGAATCAGAGCCCTCTGGCCGCAGAGAACGCTTGTTAGACAGTCAAGACACTTCCACTTGAGGAGACCGGCCTGACTTAGTGGCCGAATGGGGCAGAAGGAGGAGGAGCAGAGAGATGAAGGAGTCTGGATAAGTCTGGCAGGGGGTGAGGTGGCCTCTCCCATGGGCAGTGGTTGAGCCTTTACTCTTTCTCCCAGGACTGTGTCTGGGCACCCCTGAGAGAAGTGTTCGGTGGTGCACCATATCAGAAGCAGAGGAAGCAAAATGCACCAAATTCCAACAGAATATGAGAGAAGTGGGTGGCCCCAATGTCTTCTGCACAAGGAAAAACTCTCGCCAAGAATGTATCCAGGCCATCAAGGTAAGTCAGTACCATGTGTTGGTTGGAACCAAACTGAATGGAAGGGAAGGGAAGGGAATAAAGCAAAAAATGTATTTCCCCCTTCTTCTGCTTTTCTTCCCGGGCACCGATGGGTTGGGAGTGCTCCTTCCTCATAGGACACAAGACTATTTGGAAAGCAGATACTAACATTCTAAAGTGGAGACACCACGTGTGGGGAAACTGTGGTTGCAACACAATTTTTTTTCTTTTTTTTATTGTTTATTTATTTATTTTGAGAGAGACAGAGGCAGGGAGGAGCACAAGCAGGGAAGGGGGAGAGAGAGAGAGAGAGAGAGAGGGAGAGAGAGAAGCCCAAGCAGGCTCCACGCTGCCAGCTGCAGAGCCCAACATGGGACTCAAACACCTGAACTGTGAAATCATGACCTGAGCCGAAACTGAGTTGAACGCTGAACGGACTCAGCCACCCAGGCGCCCCGGAACTTGCATTTTCTAAAGTAAGGGCAATAAAACGAATCCTCCCTTGCTGGTGATTTTATAGTGAAACTGATCTTCTTGGTTGGTGACCTTCCAAATTGGCATTACAAATCTTCTGGAAAGTGGAATAACAAGAACAGCCAGAGCCACGAAGATAAACAAGGTCACTGTCTGAGCGAGTCCACGCTTAGTTGCCTATCCCAAGGGGACAGGCCATCGGAAGGAAAAAATTCTACAAGGACAAAGCTACCCATGAGAGCATAGATTTCATAGCAAAAAGAAAGTGCTGAACATCTGAGGGGTTATTTGACAAACTATGGAACAACCACATTATGATAAAATATTATGAAGTCAATAAAGGCCCTGCAGAAGTATGAAAATGCATGCCATTTTAGAAGAAGAAAGCAGTCCACAACATATTATCTGTACCAGATTGCAAATATAAGACATATGGAAACATATGAGAAGTAATACGCTAAAAAGGATGAACATGATTTATTATGATAATTTTAAGATAGCAGAATAGTTTTATTTTCTATTCAATAAAAAAAACTTAAATCAATATAGGGCTTTCTAGAGAAAGCATCTAGAATAAACAACTTCATTTATTATTACTTGTATTTATTTATGTGAGAGAGAGAGAGAGAGAGCATGAGCAAGGGAGAGGGGCAGAGAGGAGAGAGAGAGAGAATCCCAAGCAGTCTCCACGTTCAGCTTGGAGCCTGATATGGGGCTCGATCCCATGACTCTGATCATGACCTGAGCCAAAATCAAGAGTTGGACACTCAACCGGCTGGGCCACCCCGGTGCCCCTAGAATAAACAACTGTAAGTATAAATGACTGTGAAGGGCAGGAACCATGAGACGATACAGGCGGGGACGCTTATAAGAAAGAGACAATATG